AGAGGCAGTAGAGGCAGTAGGTAGAGGCAATAGGTAGAGGCAGTAGGTAGAGGCAGTAGGTAGAGGCAGTAGAGGCAGTAGAGGCAGTAGGTAGAGGCAGTAGGTAGAGGCAGTAGGTAGAGGCAGTAGGTAGAGGAAGTAGGTAGAGGCAGTAGTAGAGGCAGTAGGTAGAGGCAGTAGGTAGAGGCAGTAGGTAGAGGCAGTAGGTAGAGGCAGTAGGTAGAGGCAGTAGAGGCAGTAGAGGCAGTAGAGGCAGTAGAGGCAGTAGGTAGAGGCAGTAGAGGCAGTAGAGGCAGTAGAGGCAGTAGGTAGAGGCAGTAGAGGCAGTAGAGGCAGTAGAGGCAGTAGAGGCAGTAGAGGCAGTAGAGGCAGTAGGTAGAGGCAGTAGAGGCAGTAGAGGCAGTAGAGGCAGTAGAGGCAGTAGGTAGAGGCCGTAGGTAGAGGCAGTAGGTAGAGGCAGTAGGTAGAGGCAGTAGGTAGAGGCAGTAGAGGCAGTAGGTAGAGGCAGTAGGTAGAGGCAGTAGGTAGAGGCAGTAGAGGCAGTAGGTAGAGGCAGTAGGTAGAGGCAGTAGGTAGAGGCAGTAGAGGCAGTAGGTAGAGGCAGTAGAGGCAGTAGGTAGAGGCAGTAGGTAGAGGCAGTAGGTAGAGGCAGTAGGTAGAGGCAGTAGGTAGAGGCAGTAGAGGCAGTAGGTAGAGGAAGTAGGTAGAGGCAGTAGGTAGAGGCAGTAGAGGCAGTAGGTAGAGGCAGTAGAGGCAGTAGAGGCAGTAGGTAGAGGCAGTAGGTAGAGGCAGTAGGTAGAGGCAGTAGAGGCAGTAGAGGCAGTAGGTAGAGGCAGTAGGTAGAGGCAGTAGGTAGAGGCAGTAGGTAGAGGCAGTAGGTAGAGGAAGTAGGTAGAGGCAGTAGGTAGAGGCAGTAGAGGCAGTAGGTAGAGGCAGTAGGTAGAGGCAGTAGGTAGAGGCAGTAGAGGCAGTAGAGGCAGTAGAGGCAGTAGAGGCAGTAGGTAGAGGCAGTAGGTAGAGGCAGTAGGTAGAGGCAGTAGGTAGAGGCAGTAGGTAGAGGCAGTAGGTAGAGGCAGTAGAGGCAGTAGGTAGAGGCAGTAGAGGCAGGAGGTAGAGGCAGTAGTTGAGGCAGTAGAGGCAGTAGGTAGAGGCAGTAGGTAGAGGCAGTAGAGGCAGTAGGTAGAGGCAGTAGGTAGAGGCAGTAGAGGCAGTAGGTAGAGGCAGTAGGTAGAGGCCAGTAGGTAGAGCAGTAGGTAGAGGCAGTAGAGGCAGTAGGTAGAGGCAGTAGGTAGAGGCAGTAGGTAGAGGCAGTAGGTAGAGGCAGTAGAGGCAGTAGAGGCAGTAGGTAGAGGCAGTAGAGGCAGTAGGTAGAGGCAGTAGGTAGAGGCAGTAGGTAGAGGCAGTAGGTAGAGGCAGTAGGTAGAGGCAGTAGAGGCAGTAGGTAGAGGCCGTAGGTAGAGGCAGTAGAGGCAGTAGAGGCAGTAGGTAGAGGCAGTAGAGGCAGTAGGTAGAGGCAGTAGGTAGAGGCAGTAGGTAGAGGCAGTAGGTAGAGGCAGTAGAGGCAGTAGAGGCAGTAGGTAGAGGCAGTAGAGGCAGTAGGTAGAGGCAGTAGGTAGAGGCAGTAGGTAGAGGCAGTAGGTAGAGGCAGTAGGTAGAGGCAGTAGAGGCAGTAGGTAGAGGCCGTAGGTAGAGGCAGTAGAGGCAGTAGGTAGAGGCAGTAGGTAGAGGCAGTAGAGGCAGTAGGTAGAGGCAGTAGGTAGAGGCAGTAGAGGCAGTAGGTAGAGGCAGTAGGTAGAGGCAGTAGGTAGAGGCAGTAGGTAGAGGCAGTAGGTAGAGGCAGTAGGTAGAGGCAGTAGGTAGAGGCAGTAGGTAGCCTGATCTACCTGGCTGTGGGCACGAGGCCTGATTTGAGTTGTGTTGTCAGTAAACTGTCCCAGTATTTCTCTGAGCCGACAGAAGAGCAATGGACTACTGTCACACATGTACTGAGATATTTGAAAGGTACAATCGACAGAGAACTGTGTTACCGGAAATGTAAGAGTGAAAAACTGGGCTTGCAAGCGTACAGCGATGCAGATTGGGCTGCTGATCTAACCGACAGACGTAATGAGAGCAGCCCACTGGGTTCCTGGAAAACCAAAAAGCAGACAACTGTCGCTTGATCAACTTGTGAAGCCGAGTATATTACATTACATTACATTACATGTCCTTTGTTAGACACTTTTATCCAAAGCGACTACCATACATTCAGTTCTGTGGACAATCCCCACAGGAGCACTGTGGGGTGAAGTGTCTCAGGGACACAACGACATGCTGACTGCAGTGGGATTTGAACTTGCTACCCCCTGATTCCAAGTCCAGCACACTATCCACTGAGCCACAGCCTCCCTGGGCTCCCTATGGCTTTAGCAGCTACTATGCAGGAGTGTATGTACTTAATACAACTACTAGAGGGCATTGACAAATGTGAATATACACGACCTACGATTTACAAAGACAACCAGGGCACAATAGCGTTGGCAAAGAATCCTCCTAACAGACTGAGAGGCAAGCATTTTGACATTAAGTATCATTTTCTGAGGTCAACTGTGGAAGAGGGAAAAACAAATCTGATGTATTGTCCAACAGACCAGATGGTCTGGTGTTATGACAAAACCTGCACCAAAGTTTAAGTTGATTAAGTTTGCAAAGTTGATGTTTGGAGAGTAATCATTTCTGTAAGGTAGAGAACCTTATAATGTTTTTATTTGTTAAAAGACCACAAATGTGATATCAAGTGGGGGTGTTAACATTGATTTGTTGTGCATGATGGAAGCCGATAGCGAACCAGGTTAGAGTTCAATGATGGTATAAATAAAGCCACGCCTCCAATGGGACTTTTATCCTTTGTCTGAATAAAATCCCATTGGTTTGATTTCTGCTGACGGTCAGAGGAAAGAACAACTCTTCATTGAGACTGGCTTTAAAGGATGTGTCTTTGAACTGGCTTATTGAGACTTCTGGAGACTAAGTGATGCCACGAACAAGATCCATCTGTTCCCTCTCTCTCCACACACTCATCTGTTCCCTCTCTCTCTCCACACACTCATCTGTTCCCTCTCTCTCCACACACTCATCTGTTCCCTCTCTCTCCACACACTCATCTGTTCCCTCTCTCTCCACACACTCATCTGTTTCCCTCTCTCTCTCCACACTCATCTGTTCCCTCTCTCTCTCCACACTCATCTGTTCTCTCTCTCTCCACACACTCATCTGTTCCCTCTCTCTCTCTCCACACTCATCTGTTCCCTCTCTCTCTCTACACTCATCTGTTCCTCTCTCTCTCCACACTCATCTGTTCCCTCTCTCTCTCTACACTCATCTGTTCCTCTCTCTCTCTCCACATCAATCTGGTGCCCTCTCTCTCTCCACACACTCATCTGTTCCCTCTCTCTCCACACACTCATCTGTTCCCTCTCTCTCTCTACACTCATCTGTTCCCTCTCTCTCTCCACACTCATCTGTTCCCTCTCTCTCTCCACACTCATCTGTTCCCTCTCTCTCTCCACACACTCATCTGTTCCCTCTCTCTCTCCACACTCATCTGTTCCCTCTCTCTCTCCACACACTCATCTGTTCCCTCTCTCTCCACACTCATCTGTTCCTCTCTCTCTCCACACACTCATCTGTTCCCTCTCTCTCTCCACACTCATCTGTTCCCTCTCTCTCTCCACACACATCATCTGTTCCCTCTCTCC